AAATGTCTATACCTTCACTGGTTCCCGCTTGCACCGAGCATCTTTGAGGCCTTTGACCATGAGGGACCCCAAATAATCGCACCCTTCGTTCGTATTTTCGGACTCCGTGCTCCATAAAGGGTGCATATGACAATTTCACCCAAGTCAATCGAGTGTAGCCGACTTCGGTAAGGCTGTCAGGGGGTGCTATATGAAATCTGCTACATGTGCCAAGCCTATACAAATTAATCCACATCAGTGAGGCAACATACATGCATGTTTTCGCAGGTATTGTATTCAGCCCGCTAACATCTGACACTAAGGAGCGATAGACCCTCATACGTGATAGCTTACGAAAGGCCGAATTGTCTGGCAGCCCTATTGGGTTGATACCTTTCCAAGATCACCGATTGCCCATAACGGTAACATAGTCATCCAGGTCACATACTAATGAAATACTCAACAACCTGTAAAGAGCGCCCTTTAAAAAGGTATACTTGCCATGGAGATCGGTGTCATCAATGATATCCACTGCCATCAAATTACTTGATAGACTGCCAAGCTCTTGTTGATGCACACTAAGAGGAAATGGTCAGGGATGAGGTCTGGTATGAAGAAAATAATCGTACGCGCTCTTGTTTCATTTTGGATGAAGCCCTCAAAAATTGCATGACGATTGAGTATCCCTTATTTGAGGAGGGATATTCCAGGCAGCTAAATGCTCCATGGATGTGAATGTGAACCCAAGTGTAAATATATTGCCAAGGGAGGGTTGCATCATGCCCATCGAGTGTATGGTTTTCTAAAATAGTTTTGAACGTTCTGAAAATCTTATTAAGAACTACAGAGGCGAGCGAAAGACGCTCTTCGTATGACAAGAGTCTGGCCGCTAGCAAATAATTACATCAAATAACGCATCCCTTAGTAGGGAGGACAAATGTGTACAACCAACAAACTAAAAATCTAACGAGAAATAACTCTTCACTCACACCTAAAAGGGCGGGAGACAACCCTACATCGGTGGAAGGTTTGACAAGGTCTTCTGATAGATCATCAGTGTACTCCACGCCTGACTCAAAAGGATTTTGTAGAAGAACGGTGGTTTGATTGAGTTCCTCCTCCCGAATGAAACTGCGAATCCATATGTCTAAAGGGACGGTGGCCCGAGAACGCCTCTATAGCCTAACCTCTTTACAAACCCGCTGATAATGACTTAATGCATCCGAAAGGACTGTTGGCAATATTAATTCTCCCCTCCTACTCCTGTCGAGGGAAAGTTGCCTATGGAATAACTTCTCATATGGAGGAACGCATTCTTCATACCTACGGAGAATAGTTTAATGATTGGTAGGCTAGAGACAGTGTGTAGCTCCCATAACGTCATTGTCAGCTCCTCGGAGCTCATCCAGCAGGTATTCGTTGTTGGGTCCCAGAATTCTATCACCTCCTTTATCTAAGAGTGGGGGATATTCTCAAAGCTGAACATTGAAGCATATACGGTTTCTTATATACCTGCTCTTTTCAAAATATTTTTTAAGAGCTCTTAAGACGTACCTTGCCCGGGAAACATACCCACGTGTAGATTTAGAGAACTACCCCACTGGAGAATCCCTAGGTCTCTCATGCATAGCTGGTTGTAATTGCTTGTGACACAATAACCTTGATTGCCCAACTTGCTCAACCCAACTTGCTCAATGACATTGGCAGCCGACTCCAAAATATCGCACATAACGGAGCTCACCTGAGCGATGGTACTCTCGAAGGGATTATAGTCCTCACACTTCAATCTAACAGTGGTCACCCACTTTGGAGGATCTCTGTGGGCTGAGGTGTCGAGCTCAGAATGTGATAGTAAAGACGAGCGCATGAAAAATTCACTGTAGATGCTGCGACCTCTCAGCATTTCATGCTGCTTCAGCTATCAACCATTTCAGCAGTCCCAGAAGGATTGTGTCAGCTAATCATTGCCCATATAACCTCCTCACCAGGCTCAATTCTTGGCATCCCCTTCGGTCTGCTCCAATTGAACATCTTCCTGGCAAAAAGATAATAAAATTATAAGTATACAAGTTGATGAAAAGAAAAGAAGATGAGGTATAAAAAATTTTATATACTTTGCCTTTATCTTGCGTTGACATCCAAGAGTATAAAAAAAAACAAGAAGAAAATTCTTGGAGATCTGTATTGTCAATTATTTACAACAAACATGGTCCGCTTCAAGCGCGCACCATATCTGTTGGGGTGCAATTGTTGACCTCCATACTAGTGTCGGGGTCGAGTCGATCGCACAAGGTGAATTTTGAAAGCAAAAAAGAGCTCAAATCCCTGCGTAACTCACCCGACATGTGTCGACCGAAAACCAAAATCGCTGAAATGGCCTACGCTCTCAAAACGAACAACGCCGATATGTTCAGAGCAGCGAAAATAGTTCAGATCGACGCCCATATTGATTGGGGCGCCGATCTGTGAAAATTTTAATTTTGTGTGCACAAATCAATGCGATGACGATGCATGCGAACGATGACGGCGACGTAGCGACCAAACCAACGCGTAATTTTAAAAAACTTTTTTTTTGATTCTATATAGTTACAAATATAATTTAAGAAAAGATGGAGAAAAAGAGATTAAAAAAAGAACAAATCTTAAATAAAAATTATCGAAAATACCTCTCCTCACTCATCTTATTTAAGCCCCGTGACTGCTTTTATTAGCGGCGAGCGGGGAATAAGACTGCGGTCGTAGTGTCACCTGACACTTACCGTGTCTGTCTTTCTTGGCAGGCCTGAAGGCTTTATACTTCCGATGCAGCCCCCTATGCGGGGACGATATCGGGATGTTGCCAAAACTTTCAGCAAAACTCGACTTAGATAATTTAATAGAAATCAAAATTCACCTAAAGTTCTAAGTAAAAAAAAAAAAAACACGACATCCTAGGTTCCAAACACTAAAAATAAAAATGAAAAGAAATACAGAACATAGCATAATACAACTTACACTGAACTTGTAGGGGAATTAGTTGTTCACCAACTGTAGGAACCAAATTTCTTTCTCGTAGCTCTTGACTTACGCACACCTAAACTCCCCTGCAACACTCCTTACAAAAGTTAAGTGTGAAAGAAATGAATTAAACCACTCTTCTATTTATAATGTGGAATTCTAATTATTTGTGGGCTCCACCACTTTGGATTCCTTTGCTAAAGGACAGGGAATGTACACCTGAGGGCCCTGCCAGCCTTGGATCCCCTTGTTAAAAGACATGAAAAAGTATACCTGAAGGCCCCACCAGCTTAGGATCCATGTTTAAAATATGTTAAAATCCCTCTCCGAGGATCTGACTTTGAATTCCTCGGGTATTCACCGGCTGGTGAAATAAGAGCATAAATACACTTGAATACGGGTGGTAATTATCTTAAAAGGGGAGGGATAAAAGTAAAAAAAATATTTACCTTTCCTACGAAAATATATTTACAATAATTATTAATATGTAGAAATCCACGCACCGCATATCTCTGGTAATTATTCTAACTAAACCCTTCAAAATAAACAAGGTGTACTTTCCCTATGCGATTATAGGCGCCAGCTATACTTTCCTAGTCTTTTAGCAAAGGTATCCCTTATTTTGGTTAAACCCTTCCTATAAGCATGAACTGTACTTTCCTTGTGTTTTAGCAAAGGGATCTTAGGCTGACGCAACCCTCAGGTGTATATTCCCTATCATTTAGTAAATGAATCCTAAGTGGCAGGGCCGCAAATAATTTGAATTTCATATTATAAATAGGAGGGTGGCTCAGTTCATTTTTCTTTCACACTTAACTTCTCTAAGGTGTGTTGCTTTGGAGTTTAGGTGTGCGTAAGTCAAGAGCTAAGAGGAAGAAATTTGATTCTTATATATTGGTGAATAACTAATTCCCCAACAAGTTTAGTGTAAGTTATATTTTGCTATGGTATGGATTTTTTTTCATCTTTATTTTCAGTATTGTGAACATAAGGTGTTGTGTGTTTTTTTTTTTTAAATTTTTTGACTTAGAACTTTAGGTGGATTTTGATTTCTTTAAAATTATCCAAGTCATGAGTTTTGTTGAGAGTTTCGACATCACCATGAAAAAAGAATGGAGGGAGGTATAAGGAGAAAGAAAAATAGAGAAGAAGAAGAAGAAAAAGAAGATCAAGAAGAAGAAAGTAAGAAGAAGAAAAATAGAAATTTTACTTTGAACTTGGAGGGAGGAGGGAGGAGGGAGGGAGCTTGGGAGGCCGGCATCTTTCGGGTCGCAAGAGAGGGAGAGAGCCGAAGGTTGGTGCGGTTTTGGCGTGAGAGGGAGTTATTAGATGAGTGAGGGGTCGATTGGGATTAGGGGTTTAAGTGAAATGAGTGAGGGGTATTTTGGGTATTTTTTATTAAGGACTTTTTCTTTTTTTTTTTAAAATCTCTTTTTTCTCTCTTTCCTTAAATTTTATTTGTAATAATACAAAATCATAATATATATTTTTTTAAAATTACCTGTTGGCTCGGTCGCTACATCGTCGTGATCATTCGCATGCATCGTTGTCGCATCGATTTAAGTGCACAAAATTAAAATTTTCGTCGATTAGCGCCCCAATCAATATGTACGTCGATTTGCGCCCCAATCAATATGTGCGTCGATTTTAGCTATTTCTATTGCTTCAGACGCATCATCGCCATCTGTTTCGCAAACGAAGGACATTTCAACAATTTTGGTTTTCGATCAACATAGGTTGGGTAGTTACGCGGGGTTTCGAGCTTTTTTTGCTTTCAAAGTTCATCTTGCTCGGTCGACTCGACCTCGACACTAGTATGGAGGTCAATAGAATAAAAGCTCATTTTGAGTAAATCATTAAATATTTTGATTTGATTCTAGTTTTATTATTTAAATGATTAGAAATATAAATAAATAGTTAGCATAATTATGTCAGTTTCTTTTATTTACTATGGCTGATTTATGTTTGGTAATGAGTCATTATCCTCCCAAATATTTATTTAAGCATTTAAAGCTTGATTTCAGGAGAGATTATTCTGTGCGGAGTGCGGACAGGAGAACCTTCCGCACAAGCACTGGGTACCCAACGGTACCCAGCCGTACCGAGTGCGGGTACTGAGCTGGGTACCTGCCAATGGGGTGACATGGCGCATGTTTATTGGGCTCCGGACGCCCTCCGCACTCCGCACTCCGCACTCCGCACAGAATAAATCTTCTTATTTCAGTCCTCCATATAGATAAGAAATAAACAAGTGCTTGAATATGGTTTGAAAATTCTGCTCATATTGAAGCTTTCGTGAGCTTGATAAAAACAAGTAAACCGTTTTGAGCAAGGAATTACTTGGTTAAGCTCTGCTTTTTAACTGGCTTTTGGCGGCATACATGCTATATCTACTGCTGCTTGCTTCTATTCTAATTTACATTTATCTTTATCTAAACATTTTTGTTCCTGTTCAATATTCTTTAGTTTTCTTCTATGATGCACACACACGAACACGCTGACACGGATACGGGACATGTCAATTATTAAAAAATATATGATACAGATATAGGTTGAACATGGTATTATATATATATATATGTTTTATTTTAAAAATAGCGTATAAAATTGAATAAGTATAATGTTAAAAGTAATTTAGAAATAATAATTCATTGAACTAAAAATTATGCTTAAAATAATTAATATTAGGATGTCGAGAGTCAGGCGTCGATGTCGCGTATTAGGCATTGAGAGAGCAGATGACAATGCTGTCGAGAGTCGAGCATCGATATTATGCAGTAAGTATTGGGCGCCAATGTCAAGAGGGTGTCTATCATCGATATTATGTTGTTTGCTTATTTTTTAAGCGCTATGGCTTTGATAAACCTATTTATCATCCTGTCGATTTACTGAAAAGATTTATTCAAAATTTATTCCCCTTCATTATAATCATTGTTGTTTTCATGCTCGTGATTTGAATGGTTTGGTGATTAAGCATTCTGTTCAATGAAAAAAACGAATAATATGTTCTAGAAACACTCAGTTGAATTTTTTTTACATATGTCAAAGTGCTCTTTTGATATGTTAATTCTGGAAAGGGATTAAGTACCGTTGTCCTGTAGTTATCAATTAATCCCTTTTGTTATTACTCAAGTAGTCGTTGCCTGCAGGTTAGAAGAAGTTGGGACGCTTACATCAGACCTGGAGGAAGGTATGTACGTCTTCCACTTGTTCGATGTACATATTCTTGATTATTTAGAATTTATTCATGTAATGCTTAGTTTTTGGTAAGCGGAGTGAATTATTTTATTTTTTTCACAAACCTTGTTAGTACAGTAAATAAAGCTTACCACCATGCATGATCCTCATGTGTGCATGCATAGGGCAATGACAAGAGGCAATATACCTAGCTAGAAATCAAAGCCACGCATCTTAGTTCCTTATTGTTTTGCGCTGTTTACCTATTTTTTCTTCCTAATGATTCTTTTCCAATTTTTTGATGGATTATTTAGATATTTTCTAAGATATTATAAATCAGGGTACTTATTATGTAAGAAAAGTAATGTTATTGAATATAAAGAACCACTTTTTTCATTCAAATAATGAAAGAACCCACTTGGTTATCTAAAAAGACCATAAATATTGTTCTGTCTTGCTGGAGAAAAGGTAGAAGGGCCTTTTAGATCTTTCTCCATGTCTTGGTTTTAATATTTAGGCTTTATCAAACTTTAGCAATTCATACTTAATTGTCACTATTAGTAGCCAATTACATTTGATTCTTCTTGGATCTCATTTCCGGCATAGAAGGGCATATGTCTTTATTAATCCAAGCATAAGTTTCTTTTTTCATTTTCTTTTTACTTTAACTACACAACCCAGTAAATATAGTTCTATTTTTGATGCACCACTTGGGGAAACTGCATTCAGCATTAGAAGCTACTAGATGGATGTTGTTTTACATGTCGGTTAGTTATCTGGTAAGCTTCTTATTCAAAATTGAAGCAAATTTTTATTGAATAGAGATTGTTTGGAGCCATACATCATAATAACGAAAAATTTATACCTTTAGATGCAATATTAGTGGTTTAGGACAATAAAAGGAAAATAATTCGATGAAAAATAGCTGCTTGGCTATTGTGCTGAGGCGAAACTTCTCATCTAAAGTCAATTTGATGGGCCAATTTTTGGTTTTTCTCTTTCATGAAAAACATAAGGCATATATTGACAGATTCAAAATCAACTATTTCAAGTCGATTTTTCAAGTAACATTCGTCTTTCTCTTTGTATCTCCTCTCCATACAATATTGCAAACTCATTGCTCTTTTTAGAGAGAAGAGTTGCTATCATATCTTTTTAACCTGAAAATTACCAAGGAGATAAAATATTCGTTTTTTAATATACTCCCTGTAATAGATTTAATGGAGATGGAGTGCTTGTGTCTGAGAGGATTGGAAGATCTTGCTATAAACCACAATGTACGGGTCCTCTTAGACTTGAACCATTTCTCTAAGAAAAACAATAAGTTACGGGCCTTGTACCATTGAATTGAAATTTCTTCCAAAAGCTATATGAACTATTCATTGGAACATCCATAAAATTGCTAATTGTTCAAAGTTGGCAAAAAAAAAAAAAAAAAAATTTTATTCTATGATACAACGGACACCGGACACGGACAAGACATTTTTTAAAAATATATGACCACGGGTGGCGGCACAGTTGGACACGCATAATAATTTTAATTTTAATATATTAGAATTAAGACGAATTATATTAAAAATGACAAGGGAATAATAAATCAATTTCATGATAACTTGTTTAGTTTATAATATAAAAAATGTTTAAGTACAAAATATCAGTTACAACTACAAAAATATAAAGCAAAAAATCAATTCTAGTACAACATTGAAGGTCAAAAACTACTCAATAGAGGGAAACGATAGAAATAGGTTTAGATATTTGATTTTTGACCCAATCAATATCATCATCATTGAATATCCATTCTCCAACTCTAGTTCATCTAGAGAAAGAATTTGCAACAATCCAATAATCTCATATCATCAAGGCAACTCGAACCCATCTCCAGTAACATCCCACAATCTTTATTATTGTCATATAAAGTGAAGATTTTTCTTGATAGAAGACGAAGATTATATTCCTCCTAAATCATAATGGTTTTATTCTGTATTTGAAACTTTACTATCCTTCAACATTTAGAATTTATAATTTGATATTGAAGTGAAATCAAAAATCTCAATTAATAAGACAAAATTGAATACAACAACTATATCAGTCTTTCGGGGTCCAATGGGCTCTCCCCTAGTTGGGGTTCAAACCTGCCAGAGGTAAAGGTAATTTTGAAGTTTTGCTTGTAATCTTAAAAGTTCGTAAAGTTATTTATATGGAAAGATATTGAGCGGTACCGAGCATGTACCTAGCGGTATCGAGCATGTACTGAGCGATACCGAGCATTGTACCAGCCCCCGGTAACCAAGCATGTAACGAAGCCGGTACGAGCATGTACATTTAGCTTTTCTTGGAAGTTTAAAAAACAACAATTAATTATTTCATGGCGTCAGAGATAAGGCGTCGATGTCATTTCAGTACCGAGAGAGGAGATGAAAATACCTTCACTGCCAAAAAGAAATTAAAATTGAGAAATATTCGATGATTTGGGTATTAATTGCGGACATTGATTTGATTGTTGTTGGAAGAAAATAAAGAAATTTTAGTTTAAATCCCGCTAAATAAAGAGAAATTATATTTAAAAATTCATAAAATATTAAATTCTCTCTCTG